TGTCCTAAAGGGAAAAGTCGGGAAATTTTGCAGCTAACAGATCATAATTTTCCCAACTAGCTTCTTCGAGAGGTCGACTAACCCATTGAATTCAAGTTGAAGATTAGTTGTTGGTGATCCCCAATGATGATCAAGAACCTGTTCGGGTGAAAGAATGAGCTTGCCTTCATAATTTAATGGTAGTTCCGGTGGCTGGGAAGGCAAATCAGAACCAAGCGCAGGCTTTAAGAGAGAAACATGGAAGATAAGATGTATTTTAGAGCTTGCTAGGAGTTCAAGTTCATAGGCAACATGACCCACTTTGCGAATGACCTTGTAAGGGCCAAAGAAACGAGGCGACAACTTCTGAAATGAGCGATTGGCTAAGGACTTTTGACGATATGGTTGAATACATAAAAGGACAGCATCACCAACATTAAAAGAGAGATCTCTGCGCTTAGAGAATCTGCATGTGCTTTCATCTTAGCATCTCGAGTCGGCATCTATTCTTCAAGGTCTGCAATATTAGTGTCGCCCGAATGATAAGGATGCAGTAATGAGGGGTCTCGTCCATACACAATTTTGAATGGATAATAACCAGTTGAAGTGTGATACCTAGTATTGAAGGAAAATTCAGCCCAAGCAAGAAACTTACTCCATTGGAGAGGCTGGTCATGGACAAAGCAACGCAGGTATGACTCTAAACAACGATTGACGACCTCAGCTTGACCACCAGATCGAGGATGATAGAAAGCGCCCATGCGAAGACGAGTATTACTGAGGCGAAAGAGTTCCTGCCAGAAAGAACTAAGGAAAACAATGGTACGATAAGACAAAATAGAACGCGGGATGCAATGAAGCCGGACAATTTCTTTGCAACAAAGGCCAGCCACAAATTTAGCAGTAAATGGATGAGACAAGCCAATGAAATGGTTGTATTTGCTGAAGCGATCCACTACCACCGACACCGTATCAATTCCACAGGATTTTGGAAGGCCGACAATGAAATTTAGTGAAATATCTTCCCAAACACGCTCTGGAACAGGAAGAGGTTGTAGAAGGCCAGCTGGAGCTAGAGTCTCAATTTTGTGACATAATGCTTGACTTCCTTCTTTCAAATGGAGACAATAAAAACCCTCTGAAACCCGTTTAAGAGTTTCTAAGTAACCGCCATGTCCTCCAACATGAGAATCATGAACCTCAGACAATATCTTAGCTTTAAGAGAAGCATCATCAAGAATGATCAGGCGAGACTTGTATATAGAAGATTAGACGACACCTGAAAATCCGGAAGAGAAATCGGATCTTTAAGCTTTTGTAAAGAGAGCTCTTTCGTGTAAGGATTTGAGTGTAACTTGGCTTGCAACTTTCCGAAATCCATTGAAACAGGAATAGCTAAAGCTAAAAAACTTGCAAAATGAGGCCTACGAGAAAGAGCATCTGCTCTAATATTTTCACGCTAGACTTATAAATAATGGTGAAATCACAGAAGCTTCAGCAAAAGCGTTGTTGTTCTGTCGTGGTAATTCGTTGATCCAACAAGTATTTCAGACTATTTCAGACTATTCTTTACAAAGAAATGACGCCCCAATAAACAATGTTTCCATTTCTGCAAAGCCAATAACAAGGCTAAGAGTTTTCTGTCATAGGCAGATTTGATTCTATTAGAAAAGGACAAGCTTTTACTGAAATATGCGATGGGATATTCCTTCTGCAACAAAATGGCACCAATTCCTGCGGTGGAAGCATCACACTCCACCGTAGAAGGCTGGGTAAAATCTGGAAGACGCAAAACAAGAACTGAAATTAAGACTTTTTAACTGTTGGAAAGCAGCAATAGTATGATTGTCCCAATGAAATGCATCTTTCTTAGTCAATTCAGTAAAAGGGCGAGCCAACATGCTATAGTTACGCACAAAGCGCTGATAATACCCAGTCAAACCCAAAAAACCATGTAGCTCTTTAACACATTTAGGCAATGGCCAATGTAACACAACAACAACCTTGTCATCAACCGCCACTCCTGCAAGGGAAACAGTGTGACCCAGAAATCCAATTTGAGGTTGGCCAAATAGATATTTTTTTGGATTGGCAAATTAAGAATTGCTAGATAGAAGGTTAAAGGTTGTTCGAAGGTGTTCATAGTGTTGCTGGATGGTAGGACTATAGATTAGAATATCATCAAAAAAGACAAGAACGAATTTACGCAAGTAGGGGCAGAAAAGATCATTCATAGCAGTTTGGAATGAAGATGGATCATTATCAAGCCATAAGGCATGACGATATACTCATAGTAGCCAGAATGAGTGCGAAAAGTAGTTTTAGGAATGTCCGAAGGATTTACACGAATTTGATGGTAGCCTGAACGTAAATCTACCTTAAGAATATGGTTGACCCATGGAGTTCATCAAGTAGTTCATCGATGTTGGGTATAAGGTATTTATCTGGGATAGTGATTTGGTTAAGGCTGCAGTAGTCAACACACATACGCCAACTATTATCTTTTTTCTTAACTAATAGGACAGGACTCGCAAATGGGCTGGAACTAGGAAGAATGAATCCAGATTGCAACAAGATAGAGACTTGTTTTTCAATTTCAGATTTTTGGGAGAAAGGATAATGATATGGACGTAGATTGGGAGGTTTTGAGTTAGGAAGTAAAGGGATAGAATGGGTGAAATTGCAAAAAGGGGGCAGGGAATTAGGTTATGAAAACACACTGTTAAACTCAATGAGGAGCTGTTGCATCAATTGTGAAGTAGGGATATTACCTAAAAAGATTGAAAATATGTTGTTGTGTCTGTTTTATGAGGAACACCTTGCCGTTAGTATTTTTTCTCATTTATTGGAAGATTAGAAACATCTCGTTCCAATTCGCTTGTACTGTGTTCAGGGATGCTAGCCATTGTATACCCAGCATAATGTTTGTGCCGCCAAAGAAAAAGGGGAAAAAATCTTGCGTGATGGCCAAATCAGAAAGCTCTACTTACAGGCCCTTACAAACTCTGTTGCATTTGACAATTTTACCATTGCCTATCTGAACAACAAAGGTGGGAAGATCTTGGACAGCCAACTCAAGTTCTGTGACAATTCCTTTTGCTACAAAATAATGCGTAGAGCCAGTGTCCACCAACATCAACACTTTACGCCCACAAAGAGTGCCTTGAAGCTTCAAAGTGGTTGTTGATTGAGAATGGAAGAACTTTCGAGTGGTTGTTGAGGATGTTCGTGAAGCTGAAGGCTTGTTTTGCAAAGTCCTGCCTATACTCAAGCACCGTTCCAGAATATAGAAGCCACATCAACCTTGCAATCTTTAGGCATTTGATAGTACTGAAAATACTTCTCTGCTTTCAGAATCCAACCTCGAGGATCACCTCTCTCATACTTCGAAAATTCCATTTTTGTCTGCGAATGACGGGAAGTTTCTCGATGCCACCAAGTGATATCAACCTCGCCATCCTCTGGTGCTTTAGCTTTCCCTTTTATTGTTGTGATCTCCATTGTTATCGCCTGCACCATGCTGGTTCTGACTGTTTTGTGCCTTCAAGACAGCGACATCAGTGGCCAAAGCATCTGTGGCCTCCAATTTCGTTGCTATAGTCGTCAATTGTTGGGTGATCGGATCAACAGTCAGAATGATGAGTTTGCTGTGGGAGCGTTGGTCCGTGTGTTCACCATGGCAGATCTTACTGCTCTGATACCAATGATAGGAGCAGAGATTTTTATAATGGAAATAGAGAAAGAAAATACACTGATATTATTAATAATAGAGAGACACAAACATCTCATATTTTACAGAACAATCTGTCTACATATAAAGGATAATTACCATATACCTACACATTACAAGATCTATTATTTATATAATAGGCTGACCATAACTATTCCATAACTAAGTTAGGATAAAGATAGATATCTTCTACTAACCTTAATAAATTGCTAACAAATAGCTTCTTCTAATAACCGTAGGAAACTGCTTAATCCTCCATGTTTGGAAGCTCCAGGAATTTGAGAAGAAGCAGATCATTATCTTCTCCTATATTTCTTTGCTTCTTCCTCTTTGAATATGTATGGAAGATACATGGCTTATCAAGATTTTTTCTGGATCTGAAGTATATTTCTGCTTTCTGGAATTAAGATCATAGTCTCATACTAATGCTATTAAAATCCATCTATTCGACACATAAAGCAATGAAGCATAAGTGAGGGGTCCTCGCTCCACGCCGGTGAAGCGAAGCAACTTCAAAGTAAACGTGCTCTTCATACAGTAGGGCCGAAACCGATGTCTTTTTTTCTTTTCCATTTTGACTTTAAAAGGTTAAAGAATATATAAAAGAGGAAAAAAGGCCTTTTCCTATCTAAGGACTTGGATTCCCTTCTTGAGATAATGCTTCGGTGTTCTCTTTTTTTGATGAAGTAATGAAATTTTATTGATATGCATCCAGTGCATGCAAAGAAGTACATCTCATCAGAAGTACAATTCAGGCAAAATACAACATTATCTACAATGTTCTTTTTATACCAATAAAAAAGATTCACTAAATATCTTTCTTTTAGGACGGACGAAGTCATTGAAATTCCTTCAAAGTTTTTCGGGTTTTATAAGTAAGAAAATTCCTAATTCTTAACTGTCTGTTATTTTTGCATTATGACAATTTGAAAATTTGTAAATGGTCCGATGGAAAATGGAGAATGCACAAAGTTGAGTGAGATAATTCGTAAATAGCTTCTCCAAGTCATTCATATTTCCATTTGCCCAAGTTTCCTGCCGAACTCTCTGTGTTTAAGGCACAAAATGGAGTAACAAGAATTTGATTGTGAGAACCCAGTTTCACGATATAGTTCATAATCATTGCATGTGGTTTTCGTATTTTCATTCCACTTTCAAACTAAAATCTATAGAGTTCCATTCTCTTTTAGCAATTGTCATACAAGAAATTTTTTCAAAAAAGGAGAAACATAGAGAAAATCATACATCTAGTTTTGTCACAGTTTTAAACTTACTTCCTTGTCTGGTGCAGATTTGAGAAGCTCCAGGAGGATGCCTTTACGTACACTTTCATACTCAATGCTTTGACTGATCAGCAATGATGAATCGTGTGGTTGATATCCTCCTATTTTTTAAACAATTCTTAAAATT